CCATCTGCCCGACCGCACGCGCTCCGCACCGCCAGCGCCCGGCTCCCCTTCCGCCGGCTCCCCTCTTCGGATCTGGCGTCTGGCTGCCGGGGTTCAGCCTTCGCGCGCCTCCTCTGCTCTCTCTCCTCCCCCTGCGCACATGGTGTCTGGTCGCCGGACTCGCTACCAGCCCTGTGCCTCCTGTCCCGCGCTCTCCAGACACCCCTCCGCTTGCCCTCACTTGTCAACAGCCTGGCCCCACTCCAGGCCGGGAAGGCTTCACGTGAGGTTCACACGTTGGCCCCGTACACAGATGCGCCCAAGTTGCAGTTCTGTTTGCCCAAGCACAGGGCAGGCGGGGTCCAGACAAACCGAGCAGGGCTGGGGGAGCCTTCGCCCACCGAGGAGTGGGAGAGTGGGCAGAACAAAAGGCGCTGAACTACCTAACAGCGAGGGGGTGTTGAGAAGTGCCCCTTCTTTGAGGAGTACATGCGAAACATTAAAATCTGCCCATCCCATGGTTTCACTCATATGTGGGAAATAAAACGGAAACTCACGAACACAAACAGTCTGTGGTGGTTGCCAGAGGGAAGGAGGTGGAGGGGAGAGGGGGACCCAGTATAAGGTGACAGGAGAAGATTTGAGTTTGGGTGGTGGGCACGCGGTGCAATAGACAGATTTTGTAACATAGGAACCCACACCTGAAACCTATATGACCATATTAGCCAATGTCACCCCAATGCATTTAATAAAAAGGGGGGAAATATTAAGAAATAAAATAAAATCTGCCCATGTAAAAATCAGAAAAGAAACAAAATTTTCTCCGAAAACCAGCCATGCGTTGTGTTCAATTAACATCCTGGAAAGAGTAGGAAAGCCAAGAGACTCAATTAAGAGAGGGAGGGTTCTCTGGAGAGGTGGGCAGCCAGGGAAACAGAGAAAGAGGCCTTGGCCGGTTTTAAAACCTCTGAGAATTCCACTGGAAACCTTGTCAATTACAAGACTTACCCCCCCACCCCCACCCCCATGGTCTGACTGGTGGAAACAAAGATGTCAGGCCCTGTGACAGCTCCTTTTAGGTGGCCCTTTCCCTGCCTTCCAGAGGTTTCTTTACATGGATGTACTGGTCAGTACTCAGCTTAAGGCTCAGTGAGATCCCTACCCCTCCGCCCCCCTCTCCAATTCTCTTCTCTCTGGTGTTCTGCCCTGCTACTTCTAGCCACCCTGTCTTGCTCAGACTCCCAGGTCTGTTTTCTCAACTCAGGGAGACTACAGGGCTCCTCTCGGGTTCCCCCACCTGTGCTGCAGCCTGGACACTCTCCAGGCAGCAAGTTGAGGCAACCATAAGGCTCACCTCCTGTTTCCACTTTTGGGGATCACTGTCCTCCACCTCCTGGTATCCATGCTCAAAACCCAGTGCTCCTATACTTTATGGATTCACTTGTTTCAGGCAGCAGGGTACATCTGGTCCCTGTTAAGCTATTTTAGCTGGACTTGACAGCAAACTGAACCTGATCCAAACTAGTCAAGTACGGTTCTTGCTCCTGGAACTGAGATTCTGCCTTGAGGATATGAAGCCACAAGAAGTGAGTGTACAAAATGGAGCAAACTAAGAGGAGCAGAAAAGTACGGTGGAAAGACTGCTGGTGGGTGCACAGTTCATGTTCAAGTCCTTTCCTGGCACCATGGCATTCCTACCATTGGGTTTCTTGAGACATCCTGGATTCCTTGGAATAACACCCCCTTTCTGGCTAAAGTGCATTGAAGTTGTATTCTACAGCTTGCCACTGAAGGGTTCTGACTGATCGAGCACATCTTCAGGCAAAAGTGAGGGGAGAAGGCAGTTGAAAGGGAAAAACTGAAGCTCTTTAATCAATGGAGCAGGTTCCCTTGGAAGGCAGGGGCGGGGGTGAGGGTGGGTGGGACAGGCAGTTAAGGCAACAAAGGCCTTTGCTTCCTCTTACACAAGAGGAAAATAAATTTTGAGGTGAGAAGGAGGGAAACCCTTCAGGACAATGATGGTGGTAAAAGGTGCAAAAGTCTTCTAGAGAGCATAACAACAAGGTGGGATTTGACTGCTTGAAGAGAATGGGAAGGTTGAGGGTAAGCACAGCCGAAGCATGCCTGGGTGACAGCAGAGTGGAGCAAAGGTTTGAGTGCACTGTTCCAGTTATAGTTAGAGATCATTGCTTTCTGGTGGGACCAACTTGTTGGTTCATGTGATTTTCTCCCACAATGAATGGTCAATAGTCCAGGAACAAGGGCAGGGAAATGGACAACAGGATTAGTCAGGATGCTTCTATGTGGCTGTGCACTGGCTCACACCCGTCTCTGTAATCACAGCAGCACTCTTAGCAACACAGAGAGAAAGGCAGGCCCACTGCTAGCCAGTACCAAGCTTCAAATACCTTCAGGCCTCTGAAGTCTGAGCAAAGGAGCCCTTTTCTGCACCAAGGCTTAAGGTCAAGGTCAAGGCTGGCTTTCAACAATACCAGTTCAGAAGATGTATACCACTTGCTTGACTTGCCTGCTATCTGGTCCCATGTCACCTAGTCCCCAGGCCTTTGCCTGCAGGCAGGAGTGGTTCTGTCAGGGAGTAGGGGTAGGGCTGGACCAACACCCATAACCCAAAAGTTAACCACAAATTGCATCTTTTATTTTCTTATTTCTCACTGGTTCTCAACAAAAGTGGTACTCCCCTTTAGGGAACACTTAGGGAATATTTTGGAAGCTAGGGGACATTACTGGTTGTCGTGATGATTGAGATGGGTGTGGGCCAGGGATGCTAAACATCCTGACATCCTGCAACATGTACAGAGAAAAATGAAGAACTGCTGTGACTTTCAAATGTTCCATGGGACATTTATGTAGTTGAAAAACCTATTTATAATTATCTGCCCCTAGCACCTGTTCCTGTGTTACAATAAATACAACGTAGTTCTTGAATTTTCCAGGAATGTAACTACCATTTAAATTGCGGGAAGATTGTTGCTTGTTTCATTTGGCATTTTACCAAGTGTTTTTCATTCTTTCAGAAAATGATGTACCAATAGTAATGCTGCTCGAGATTTTGTACTTGAGTTGCCAATACTGCAAGCCATCTGTGTCAGCCTGCATTTGAACTGTCACTCCACAGTGATTTATAGCTGGTTGCATGTACAGTAGTGGTGTAAATGTTTGGTATAGATGTGCTTGAGCACTCACAAATAGAAATACATGTTTTATTGTAAATCACATTCCATTTATTTCTTCTTTACATTATAGGAAAGTTATTCGTATTTATCAATAGTGTACTACTTTGCGAGGGCTGCCATAACCACAGGCTGGGAGGCTTAAACAACAGAGATTTATTTTCTCATAGTAATGTAAGCTACGAGTCTGAGATCAGGGTGTTCAGGGCTGTTTCTTTCTGAGGGCTGTAAAGGACGAATCTGCTCCAGGCCTTTCTTCGTGGCTTACAGAGGGCTGTCTTCTCCCTGGGTCTTCACATTGTCTTTCCTCCCTTTGTGTTTGTTCCCAAATTTCCTCTTCTTGTGAGGGACCGTTATAATGGTTCAAGGGCCCACCCATTTTAACTTAATTACCTCTGTAAACATCTTATCTCCAAATACAGATATATTCTAAGGTACTGAGGCAAAGACTTCATCATATGGATTTGAAGGAACATGGTTCATCTTACCTAATAATAGACAAACATGCAAAGTGACCATACCTTCGCTACACCCAATCATGCCCACCAGCCACGCCCACCAACCGATCCAGAGATATGCACATTAACCCAACAAAGACGGCAGTGGCCAGAGCGGGGATACTTGCGTTGCAGCCACAGCTACCATGCAAGCATCCTGGCTCTGGCCACTCCAGGCCTATTGGAGACGCAGAAGTCAGGGGAGACAGAGAAGTCTGGCTCCAGCGCCTGAGGCTGGCTGCGGACTGGGAGACGAAGAAGCCTCCTGCCCTGTGATCCCAGGCCTCAGCAGGCCAGAAAAGCCACCTGCCCATGATCTCAGGCTGCAACCGGCCAGAGAAGCCGCCTGCCCATGGTCTCAGGCCGGAGAAGCCGCCTGCCCCACATCTACCCGCCCTATGTCCTCGGGAAGACTGAGAAGCCAGGTCCCAGTGCCTGAGGCTGGCTGCAGCCTAGGAGATGAAGAAGCCGCCTGCCCCGTGATCCCAGGCTGTAGCCAGCCGGAGAAGCTGCCCACGCTGCATAACAGGGGACACGGAGAAGCCGCCCACCTGTGGTCGCAGGTGCCAGTGCTTGTGGCCTGGGAAATAGGTTCCCTCTTCTCCTACTGCAGTCATTATTTCAATATTCCCCTTCTGAATTTCTCTCTTGTGCCGCAAACCAACTCCACTTTTCCTCGGAAGGATACGGAACAGAACAGTGTTAAAAGCTTACATTTTTAAGCCGGTAAGATCGGTACTTAAACATATAAATGGAAAACTAGAGTCCTTAAGCTAACAAAGGCTACAAAGGACAGGGTCCTATTATATCCAGCAATCCATATGAGGACTGAAAACTTAGCAATGATGACGATTAGTGAAGATATGAATCAACTAACATAGTTGACAGAGACAATTCTTCCATCTTTGAAAATATCTACATCAAATCTGTTTAAATAGGTTTTCATCTGCATAATCTAACACATTCTGACAAGACCACCATCACCAATGTGGTCAGTGTTGTGCTGATAAATGTTTAACAACTGGCTCTCAATCAAAGAAAACAAAACTCTGATTTATATTGTCGGCCAATTTCTATGGCATAAATTCTCCATCCAAGGCTGATTTCAGCTGCTAATGTGATGCCACTAAATGCAGAGCTGAGGAGAAACATGCAGTAACACACTATTATATTCTACCAGAAAGACCCAAAAGATATAAATA